GTCGTAGCCAAAAAAAGCTGGGAAATAAATCAATCTGAATCTTATTATCTGTTTATGTAACCATCAATTTAACAATAGGACCAGATCGACTATGATCTATGATAACATCTAGTAAGAGATTTTTGCTTTAGTTTAATTACAAAGAAAAAAAAGGATGTACCAACGCCCAATTGACTCTAATAGTAAAACTCGTTAGCATCTGCCAGGTATAAACAAAAAAAAGCACATCAACTTTTAATCGAGAATCCCGTGCAACTTGCCAACAACTAAAGAAAATCATATAGCTACCAAAAATCTTAGTTTTGCAGTAAGCAGTGAATTTATTGGAAAAGGATCCAAAATTCGATATAATTACCAAGGTAATCAAAGGACACTGCATCATAATACAACTCTTTATCCGATAGAAAAAAATCATGATAGATATCTTCATTAGGACCATGAAGGATACTATAGTGATAATGAGGAACGAGAAGTACATTAGAGCAATCTTCGCGCAAAATCAAAACTAAATATTGAATTATACCAATATTTCGTCGGGAAAAAAACAAAAATAACGGTCTAAAAACTCAATTTTTAATAGACGTCGGAGCAACTTGCTCAATATATAATTTTTGTACTTATCAAGAACTATGAAAAATACAATATTTAGAGTTTAAGAAATCTATATCTAACTCAAAAACAGTTAATGGCGAAAAACTTAAATTACTAGGTTATGCAATTTTTGATGCGAATTCGATACTCCAGGTGACTATCCAATACAAATTAATGTAGACCAAATACTAGGATTGGATTTCCTCTCTCTGAAGGTTACATAAAAAAAATTCCAAAATCTAATTGGGAAATAGAGGCGTACCCAGAAAAGTCAGTACCTGTGAGTGGTATCAAAAGTTAAAGTTATCCCGTCTATCTTAGTATCAAAATATATTGGTAGACCAAAATATTACCTCGGCTTCAAACTCAATAAGAATTGTTATATTTTCTCCAGCTAGCTTAGCATTAAAGAACGAACATTATTTGAAAATGAAGTAAAAGGGCACACAAGCTTATGATAATTGTTGTCGACACGAAGTAAAGTCAATTCCCGTTATATTCACCGAGTAAAAAAAACTATTTCATAATTGTTTTTTAAATCTGTTGTATGCTATTTCAAAGCTTGAGTGATTCACCCTAATTGTTTTCTAGTCTTTATTTTATAACATTTTGTTATGACCACGCGATTGCTAAATACTAATAAAAACATCCAAACATTTCGTTCTGTAGCGTTTCTTTTGGTGAGAAGGTATACATGCAAAATGCAGAAAAAGTTCTTTTTGGACGGTTATCAAAATATATTTCATCCAATGGAACCTGTAGCGCTAACTTATCATTACTTATTTGCAGTCAATAAAGCAATATAGACTGCAAAAGGCCAGGAGCTGAAAATGAAATAAGTTCTGAGTCATTCCCAATTCAAACTCAAGCGGTTTTATGACTGAAAAAAAAACATCACAAAAACTCTGGAAAAAAAATTGTCTCAGATTGCTTTCAAAAGAGGACAACAAATTGGGGTTGAAACTTTGATGTATCAACTAGCGAATGTAAAATTGCAGCACGCCATTTAAGGCGCACAGATTCCTTGCTTTCGCAACCCTCTTAGTGAACTTAGAAGAGCTGTTATGTTGCTTTTGAAGTTCACTAAGTAACGAAAACAAACAAGCAGAACTACAATCTAAAGAAAATCTCATCTCCCAAAGTTCTTAAAAATGCTTCATTCAAACATTAATTTATTTACAAAACCGGTCGAACAAAAGTTCAGACCCAACCCATAGCATTCAATTGTGCCAACGAAAAAAAGTTGGAGGCTATATGTAGTCTTCAAGACGCCAATGATACTCGCTCCTCAACAATGTGGCCAATTTCATATTTCTTCCGCCAATAAATAAAAGCGCGCCGGCATTCAAGTCAAGCTTGAGATATATGATTGTCCAATGAGCAAACTCAACTTTCCATCTGCTCAAACGCCAATTAGATAAAATTTGATACAGAGATCACTCAGACCTTGTGAAACCAATTTCAGAAAACTTTATAAATTTAAAATGATCGTAACTTGATCTCCGACAAGTTGTCTATGGAACACTTTGGAAAATAATTAGTTGCCATCTGTGCAACAATTCATTGTATTCCTAAAAATTAGGCAGCATCTTTGCTATGATTGCCATTCATAAGCCAAATTAAATAACTGATGACAGTGAGATATATCGAGAAGTTCTCGAACTACCTTTTGTCTAGGACAATGTTCTGCCTAGCAATGGATATCAATTTCGTGCTGGATTGCAACATCCTAATTGAAGTCGATCATGTACTTGCTAGTGTGAACACGATTTATATTTTCTCAGATCAATCAAATCTGATCTTTTATTATAAAAAAAATTGTTAGATTCAATGGAGGAGTAATCATGATTGAAAACATCAGCTCCCACTACTCTCCAATTGTCAATGCTTTCGCGAATCAGCATAACACAACAGATATCAATTTGAACTCCCAATAAAAAAGATAATACCTGTTCGAATGTGACAGTTTCTCATGATAGTTTTCCTATTCTCCTTTTTTTATTATCCATATTGCCTTTTCAAAATTTTCTGGCTTCCATAAACAAAACCACCATGTACACTTTCCCAACCAGAAATGTCTTCGCCAATATGTCCATTGAAGTCACCATCAATCAACGGGTTATAGGTTGTGAACAACTCACGCTCAATAGCTTCTGCTAATAGGCTCTGGGGGCAATAAGCAGCTGTCTGTTTGTAGACACGATCTTCCAAAATAACCATTACGTAGGTCATGCGGTCGTTGACACAGTTGACCTCTACAACACGGTACACTAAGTGTTCAGCGACAGCAATGCCAACTCCATTTTCTGCTTTCTTTCCGACAGAGCAAGTTGTAACCATTTCTAACCATTGTTGTTCCTGATCCTTCCATCAAGTTTTTTTATTGCATGCAGCATCCACTTTTCAATTGTTATCTCGCCACTTATTCCAGTAATGGAACCGACGTTCCACGTAGCAAATCGAAACTTAAGTCCTGGCGTGTCAGGCTATACAGCCGTCATTTGTCTCAGGGAATTTCGGCGTGCAAGGGCAATATTTCTGACGTAGGCCGTCACCGACAACGCCGTCACCGCAGTAATTCGGGCTGTACTGCCAACTATATTTGGCCTATTCATAATACAGTTCGTTGAAAAGGAGTTTCACTGCTGGATGCCCTTGCTATCGCCAACCCTCCTGCTATACCCGGTCTTGGGACCGGCGAGAACGATTACTGGCATGCAAAGCTTCCAGGCGGAGTTGCAAAGCTTCCTGGCGGATTTGTAATGCTTCCAGTTGCAATGCTTTTTGTTTACTTTTTTATTAACTGAGGTTAAACCCGGTATAAAAGACCGAAAAGAGATCCCTACTAATAATACGATTTTTCTAAAAAATATTTCAGAACTGTTCTAAGTTGGTTTAATCGAACGAAGTAGAAGGGTCGATAAGCTGCCCTGGTGGGAAAAAATCAGTTCTAGCTTTTTTTGTAAAAAAAAATGTTACTTCTGGTCAAAATTGGTCTTCTTCGACTTTTCGGTGTTTTTAACTGTAAACTTCAATTTTTTGACGTTATCTCCAGTCAGAGCGGTTTTTAATGCGGTAACGAGATAGCTTAATCTTTTTGAGTTAAATTTGCCTCAGCTTTTTCTAGAGGCGTTCAAAGTTGAACTTCTCAAACTTATTAGGCCATTCGAAAAAAAAATCACAAAGTATCGCTTTAATTTGCACTTCTACCAACTTTAAACCTGAGAATGTTTTAATTTATGTTATAGTTTTTAGTTTTCTTGATGTGCTGATGTGACATATAGCTCAAAAACCTTGTCACTTAGTGTTTTTCCGCAGCCAGACAATATACAAATTAGACCTACAGAAAACTTGTATTGTAACCAGACACTCGACTTTAAAGTGAATATGTTTAAATCATTGAACGAAATTTGATTGCAAATCAGGAATTAAATGTGTCTATGTTATATTATTACGTGCATGTGTATGTATGTATATTTATGCGTGTATGTGTGTTTATGTATAGATGTATCTATGCATGGCTGTTGTCATCGAAAAAGTTTGAAAATTTGATGATAAATTTCTATTAAAAAATGTGTAATTTTTATTACGAAAACTGTCGTTGAAATATGCTTCATTTTCTTCAATTATAGGTTGTTCTTGTTGTCATCAATTTTCAGTTTGGTTAATCAAGTTCTTTTCCCGGAATAGAAATAGATGGTAGTGTGTGTATATTGCCTAAATAAAGTACAATAGTTGCAATGATCTGGACCATCGTCGTTTCGACTGCTTTCACAGGGTGGCCACAGTGTCTGAGAAATGGCGTCAGTAAAGAAGTGCTGTGAAAAAAAAACTGGCACTGATATTCATTTTCTGGCACTGACAATCATGCTTTGCATTGATTTGGCACTGATACTGTGGCCACCCTGTTTCAGTTTCCCATAAGAATTAATTTCGCTTACATATGAAATACAACGTTTCATAGAGAAGGTAACATTCAGTTTGTATGAACATCACAAATGAAGTATTAAGTTAAAAACCATTCATTATTGAGCTAGAATAGGCAAGGGTTAGTACCCACTCAACTCCTAGCCTGTGACACAATCTCGTCCTTGGTTCGAATAACTAAGTTTAGGCTAAAAAAGTATTCGTCTGTAGAACCGATGAACGTTCCAAGAATATATTGCAATAGACCATTGCATCTCTTAATGTCTCATACCATCTTCTCTGTTCGGAGCTTGGCCTGTCTTGATATGCTTTTCATAGTGTGAATTCCTGGTTTCAATTCGCTGCAACAGGTTTCCGGTAGTGAAAAAAAAAATCAATGACATCATTTCGCTCGGAAGAATCTACAATTCATAATTGAGCTTTTCATATTACGTATTTTTAAAACAAAACTGAGCCCGTTAACTAACCGACATGAACAACTGTTGGTTTCTTCAAGACAATAAATTAATAAAGCAAGTCAATTATTTTTACTGACATAACATTGATAAACATTTTAATATAAAATTAAATACATTTTCGGATTTAATAGCACATTTAGAAGTAGATTGGGTAGCATGTATTGAATGGAAAGAACGATGAGTAAAGGAGGTAAGAATAGTCAGATAGAACCCGTTTCCAGAAGACATTAAACCGGAAATCGAACAGGCAGCATTTTATTGGATAAAAAACGGAGCAATCATAACTCGTCGAAGTCCGAGTAGCCAATGACTAGACCCGCTATTTTGTTTACTTTTCACGTTATTTTTCAAAATTCATTTTAAATCAAGATATCAGAATTCAAATCTTCAGAAAGATCCGGCGTCTGGTGTGACCAATTTGGATGACAGTTTCTCCAGGTCCAGTTTCTGTCCAGTGCATCTCTCGTAGACACTCTCGATGTCGTCACATGTGGTCTCGAAGTGAGTGGTCGCGTCGTAACTCTTCGTAATGAACACCTGTTACAAATTAGAATCAGAACAAACATAGCTTTGAAACTTCTTACCATTTTCATACGCAAAGATTAAAAAGTTATCAGTTACATTTTTTTAACCAGCAAAGCCATACATGGAATGTTCACTAGTTCATTTTCATCACTAAGTATTGATCAATATTCGATCAAACTTTGAATATTTCTGGTTGATATTAAGTCATTTTAAGTTTAACATGTCTCTATTTGTGCACCAAGGAAGAAAATTGCAACATGAATTCATCATCCGTGTCAAGGTAATTGGATTAGAAAGAGTTATTATCCCAGTGGCTCAAATTGGCTACCTTCTGCATGAAAACACTACTCCAATTTAAATACACCATGTCGCATACAATTCTCACTCAACGTGCTTTTTTCATCGACTTGATGATGCCTAGGGGCGCTGTTTTCATGGCAGAAAGTCTGAATGGCATAAAAGTTCAGTTAATCACAGGCCTTCAAATTCTCAAAAAGTTATGACTGAGTTGCCACACTTTCTTTCCGATTTACTAATTCTGATTTGTTTGCTGATCTAACAATTTGTCATTCTGTTCTTCTGCCATGAGGGACTGTTCCTTGAAAGTAAACAACCGTACCTTCGATTCTCGTCCCAGGTCTGTCGGTCTATAGAGGTCCTGCACATAGATGAACGGTCTAAACTCAAATCAGAAAAGGATTAAGCAGCAAAAGAGCGGATGCGAATTGCTTAATCTGCGTTTTTCCGTAGGTCTTCCTGACAATTGATCAAAATCTTTTCGAACAGCAACAAAAAACGTCTTGATAATCAGGTATAGAAAATAGGCATTGTAAAAAAGAAGACACATGTACAAAAACAGCAATGGCTCAGCCGAGAGAAAGTTGCAGCAATAACTATTTGCTGAAGGGACAGACCGATAATTTTATCGATAAGTTAATTCAGATATCACTCAATATTCGCGTTGGAGAATGCAAAAGGCAAAGAAAGGTAAATGACAGGGAAACACAATCACGTAAAAAAAACTAAACCAAATAATACAATTCCCAGTCCGAATACAAAGAGCAATCAGATGAACAGCTACGTAATTGATTAGAAACTGGAAATACTTCTATTGTTAACTACAGCTACAATTTCTCCAAAAAAACGTTGAAACTGAGGAGGAGCTTTTGGTTTCTGCAACTTCCGATCATTGAAAATAGGAGGGGGGGGGGGTTGTATTCGGATGTTTTAGTTTTTTTTCCACGCAGAATCAGGTACCACAAATGATAATCGGCTTCTATTTTATCGCTTTCAATGGAAAAAATTTCATTTATTTTTGCAGACAACTGTTGTGTAGTGTACCTAATTTGCAATTAATATCAATTATGCCTTATTTTAGGCTTTTATTCAGATTCTCTCATCACACTGCGAATAAAAAACGAAACAATGTGAAAAAAATCTGTTTTTTTTTATGATTGTGGTCGAAACTTTAGGCTACTTGCACAGCAACCGTCTATACTTGTTCACTACTCCTCAGCTACTTTGTAAAAATTCAAGTAATATAATTTTTTATAAACATAGACAACAGTCGGAAAAAAGTTAATGATCTGAAGGAAACAACAAACTGATTTTTTTTTCGAGTTTTACAAGCAAAACTAATCTTAAAACTCTTCGAATTTCAGCAACCCTTTACAATGACAAGTTAGTGGACATAGCGAACAGGCAATAGCAAAGATTGGCAAGAATTACCAGATGCAGCATTCTCACAAATTAAGCGTCAAAACAAAACCGAATTCTAAGAGACTATGTTGTGACCACATTTGTTTGTTTTGCGACATTTCGTGAGCTAACGCAAACCAGTAACTTCAACACAACTCCTTCACGCCAAATAAGTTTTTATTCAAAAATAATGGGGTAGCTCTAGTTTATGAATGTCTGTTTAAATGACACTATAAGCTAATGTGTTCATTTTGGGACATGTTGTATGATAACGCAATCCAATAACTTCAAACAAATCCTTCTCCAAAATAAATCCTTCACGCCAAATAGATTCTACTCTAGCTTATGAATGTCTATTTGAATTGCACTTAAAACTAAAACATATGTGATCGGAACAATATTGAGCCGCTACTGTAAAAACTAAAACTCATAGTGCCGTTTGCAGTAATGGATAATTGAGGACTCACTCGCATGCTAGACTGCCCAGAATATGCAGTACACTCTTCACCTCTTCTTCTGGCTGTTCTGTTTCCACTGTGGCTCCCACCACTGCTATATACTTGCCCTTGGAGGCCACTGCATGTGCAGATGACACACAGCAGATATAGACGTCTACAACACAGAACATAACACATACAATACATATCAGAATGGCGATTAAAAAGTACTTAAAATATAATTTATAGACATATTTACCAATGTCTAATTATAAGGCTATTTTTGCTAAACAAACTACCATTTTAATCTCCGTAAAACCTTAAGCAATTCGTTTTACATAAAATTTAATCATATATCAACTTATTCGAATAATTTCGGTTAAAAAAGGCATTTTTTAATTTTAATACCTCATCACCATTCGTACACTCTTTCAAGTAAACAAATTTGAGTAGTTTCAAATTGGTTTGTTGACTGAAAACTATCAATGCATGTTGTCTATTTGATGCACATCCCAAAAGACGATACGGAACAAATAAAAGTCTGAATACATCAAATTTCTCAAACAATATTAAATTTCTCTAACGTATATTAAATTTCTCAAATAATATATACAAAGTCCGAACTTTTTCATTTCAAAATTAACCTCATCAATGACTTTTTTGGAAAAATTAAGTTCAGAAATTTATTAAATAAAGTCAAAATTTTACACCTTGGAAGCAATTTGACTAAGCCGTTATAAAATTCGAAAAACTAAATAACAAAAATGAATATGATCATTAAAAATCAGAATTTTACAAACAAGTGAGGAAATAGAACAAAGAGCTCTAAACAGGCAAAACACAAAATAAAAAGGGAAATAAAGAATAAATTTAAAAAGTATCTTGAAAAGAATTTTTGGAGATTAGGAGTAACACGTTCGCATATCTGTTCCACGGCCGCTTGTTATTTTACTAAGACTAGCCACCAATAACGCAGCTACAGTTTATCAAATTGTAGCAGTTATGCAGCAAAAATTCGACCAAAAAATAATTCTATTTGAATGTTCCTGATTTTAATATCCGACCTGTTGATTAGGAGTCTCACGTCCTGCATCTACGCAACGGTCACTTGAAAGTAAAAGAGTGGCCCAGTTAATGCTGGATCTACCTGTTATAATATTTTTAATCATATATTGTACTGATACGGAAATGCGTAATTACAACAAATGTTATTTACGCAAAAACCTGGTGTTTCCCTGCTTACATAGGCGATTAACAGATTGTTCAGTGGCGAAAACTGCTAATCGTTCTTTTAATTGAAGTCTTCTTCTCAGATTTGTCTGGGTAGTATTCGAACAAATAGTCGAAAGAATTGCAAAACTTGACTTTTACTACAACCATAAGCTTCTCTCTACTTAAGCATGGGAACAGCATCTGATTTTCAAATTGAAGATTTCCCTACACTGAATTTTTTAAACTGAACACTTAATGTCAGATTTAACTAGTATTAACTAAGATTCAGCAGGTTAGTTTTTTTTAAAAATAACTTTCCAAAAAAATTGGCAACCTTTCAAAAACAACTGACAATTTCTAAGGCCATATTTAGTTCAAAACGCTTACCGCTTGCGCTGGTGAGACTTGCATAAATGTTTTTTTCTTTCGATTAAACCCTTATTCTCCGCATTGGCAGGGTAGTTTTTGAGAAAAGGGGAGATATCCAAGTTTTTCTTTTGATTGAAACCCTCATCTCAGATTTGTGCATTTAATATTTGAAGAAACGAAGAAGTTGAAAACAAATAGGCCAAAAATCCTCTTACTGAAAATTTCGAAGGCGGTAAAACTTGCGGTACAATGAAAAGAGACTAAAAAAATACGCAGACACATAGGAGAGCAGCCAATTTTCCCATTAGTAACTTTTTTTGAAAATCAATACAGTAGTTTTTAAGGAAAATTGAAATCTCTGCGAAAATTGCAAACATTTTCCATGAGCTTAAATATGATTAGGCTTATATATTATTAAATTGAAATATAACAAAAATGCCACCAAATCAGCACTTTTATTTACGACTTCGGTTAGAAAAATCTTCGTAATGATACACACGCTTCGCTTGTGTAAAAACAATTTTCAATTATAGTATAACCGATTTAAATTAAAACAAAAACCATTGTTTGGAATTTGGGTTGCTAAACAAGCGTACCATATAAAAAAACGCATTGGAAAGGAACATAAAATGACCCGATGGAAATTCGTACGAAAACCACAAATCCGATAAAAACTCGTCTTTTTTGTTTGAACGATAAACCAGGTAATTTTTTTTGGATTTTTTCAGAAACTGAGCATGTCAGTGCAGCCTGCATTTGAAATTAACAGCAACAGTATCTCTCGCAAGTGAATAACACATTAACAAGGAAAAGTCAAGCAGCTACCTGTTTTTCGGTTGAGCTGTGAAGCGGGACATATGATCTGAGCGGAGTTGGCGTTGTTGGTGTCTGACACTGGGTGGTCCAGGAAGCAGATGGCCCTCACCACTTGGCCACACTTCTCCACTTTATCCGGGAAGTAGGAGGGGTCTCCAATCACCATTTTCGCCTTCGCTACCTTCAAGCAAACAATTCCCAAACTTGAGAAAGACCAAACTTGAATGGTTTTCTGTTAGTTTTATAAACAAAAACCCAAGCCGAGTTTTCTTTTAAAGAAAGTATTTTTTAGCGTCTGAATGGTAAGGAAACGGTTGTTGTGAGCTTCAAACTTTCACAGACCATAGCAACTTCATATAATTTTGAAGAAACAGTTGATACTTGCAAAATTAGCAACCTTATTTTCAACTTATAAATTTTGAAACGAAAAAGAACGCAAAATATTTCATTTATTTAGAAACATAAATCAGAGTATTCCTCAACCGAAAACTAGAAAAAATAACGCAACATTTTTGCTGAATTGATGATTTAAGGTTCTGCATGACAATCATGCATCATCTAACCCCTTCTTTTGACTTGACAGCCACAAATGTTCCAGAGTCATTCAGTTCCACATCCACAGGGACTCCTAGCATGTACGTCCCTCCGTAGATAGCGGACAACCTGGCGAAACTTTGCGGCAACTCCCCCAACCCATAGAGACAGTAGAGGTAAGGGGAGGGACTCTGCTTCTTGTCCTGGTCACTGTAGCGAGTGAGTGAGGAGTAATACAGCTGTGCTTTGTCTACTGTCTCCATAAATGGACGTTGGCGGTACCTAGATAAAGTAATTCATATGCTGATGCGATTAAGTAATTCATATGCTGAGTCAAAAAACTTTCCGAAAACAACTAAAAAATAAAAATCGAAACTTTTTAATCACTTTTTAATTCAATTAGATGAATTGCATGGCTTGAACCCTATTAAGTAAGATCAGAAAATTTGAGGCATGCAATAGAAGTATATAGCCAATATAGGGGCAAGTAATCAACGAAAATTTTTAAAAGAATATTCTACTGGAAACTATTCAAATTTTCTGTGCTTAATGGTATCTTTTTGATTGTGCCATGTCGCAACTTACTCTTCGTCTCTGAAAAGAGCAATCGCATGTCCTGTGAAGTCAATTGTGTTCTTATCCACTCCGAAAGAGTCATACACCTGTTGCATGGTTGTCTGCTCGGTGAAGTTTTTCCAGGTTTTTGGATCTTCTTTTTGGAACTCCAGAACCCAGCTCAGAAATTTTGCAAACTTCTTTTTCTCGAACATTCCCATTAGATCTACCACAAAAAATATTCAAATAAGTACTAAAGGCATGTCATGGCAGCAATAACTGCTAGCATTTGAACTCAAATAAGTATGGATAATGCGGCAGTGGTTACTTTTGTCATCATTCACATTTGATGCAAATTTCAGTTGTCAAAATTGGGTAGCAAATTGAGTTTGTAATCCTGGTTCCAAAAGACTAAAAAAACTCATTTGTCGAAAAAAGTCCTTTCGGATGAAATATCGATTTCTCAGCTGAGCCTGTATAGCACCATGGTTTGATTTACAATCAGATATTTAAACTAGATCTATCCAAATGAATAAAGCTAGTTTTGAAACTAAAAACAAGCCAAGACGATAGAATGTAAAATTCGCGTCGAAAGAAAATTTACCAGGCGGTAACAAAGCCAAAAACACCTTAGCAGAAACCCTTCAAGCTGAAAAAAAAATCAACATGATTTATAAAAATTCATATAGTGCTCACTTTATTCGCCCATCAAATTATACATAATAAGGCCACTAAGCCGATATAAAAAAGGCCAAAACCTATTAAGACGAAAAAAAAACATTAAAAAAGCCGGAAAAAACCAAACAAGTTTTAGACTGATAAAAAGTTATTAAGTCCACCTCACCTTCAAAACACACACATGCAAAAACTTTTTCACTCCTCGAATGACGCAATATGATGACGCACAGCGGATATATTGTACGCCGAAACTTAGGTCGAACTAAAAATTAAACTTCAGACTACTTTTAAGTTATAAAGTCCCCTTGCGTTCAAACCACCAACATACATTAAAAAAAAACTTTTTTGCTCATCGAACAACGCAATATGAGGCCAATAAGCCGAGATAATATAGGCCGAAACTTATTCAGACGGAAACAGAAAAAATCAAAATTTTAAGACTTTTTGAAAGTTATGAGGTCCCCCTCACCCTCAACACACACACACACACACACTTCTTTTTGCTCGTCAAAAGAGGCGATATGCGGCCAGTAAGCCGATAAAATAAAGGACGAAACCTATCAAGCCGAAAAGGAAAAAAACGAAAATTTTTTTAACAAATCGAGTTGGTAAAATTACAAACGACATAAAAAAAAATTGAACAGGGTAGATATTTAAAATACCAACAAGCTTAAACATATATCAGTAGCGGTAAATTGGTTATCTGTAGCGATAAATAGGCTGCTAAGAGACTTTAGGGAAATGAGTCCAGATGAGAAGAGTTTTGTGAACACAGTTGTTTACGGGGGAAAAAGTCTAGAGCCTAGAACCCGATTGCAATACCCTTGCTTATCATAAGATTAAATCTCGTTTCAGGTATTAGCGATTCAGAAGAGTTTAAATTGCATTATACCCGATTTCAGCGCTTCGGTTTCACTAGCCGGAACTTTAGATATTTTCCCGTTCTTCTTTCCTCCGCTCATGTACACGTAACTGCCTTCAACCATTTTAAACTCCAGATAGCGAGTCACACCAGTAGCCAGCAACGTTTTAACTAGTTTCCCGTCGGCCATCAAAAACTTTGGAATCAAGTCGACATTCCAATCTCTCCCTCGACCGAATTTCTCCACATCAGCCGGTATTTCTCTTTTGAAACGCTCAAAGACAGCATTAAGAGGCGTCAATGACGCACTCTCAGCTCCGTAATATTGGTTCCTGTCCATATGGAGAACTTTTTTACCCTCCACAGATAGAATTCCAGAAAGAATACATTCCTAAAATGAAATGCGAAGATGTTGGATCAAGTTTTCAGGAACTTTTGCATCGCATCAAAAATAATAGCGTTTAAAGGAACTGAATTGCCTTACCGATAATCCAGTGCCCAGAACAATTACATCGTATTCTTCTTCCATTGTTCTTCAAGTTCTATGCTACAATTATTGCGTTACAACAAGACAGTAGTTTTAACGCAGATTAATTCAAGATATTTACATTTATTAGTCAAGAGAAACTCAACACAAACAACTAATCTGAAATATTTGAATAACAAATTGCACTAAGGCAGACAAATATTTGCCGCATAAACAACTGTTCAGCAATGTGCTTGAAGAGCAAAATAAAGATCAAAAACAGGAAATTATACTTAACGCGCATAAACTGAGATGTTATGAACCGAAAGTTATGAACCGTAAGCGTAAGCTCAGGGAACTTTAACTTCAAAAAGTCCGGTATTAGATCGTTTTTCAGACACTTTCTCAAAAATTCAGATATATTCTTTCAGTAGCTCAAAACAAGATATACAGTAGCTCAGAAGCAGATATGCTTTAGCTCAGTGGCTTAAATTCAGTTGCTCAAGACACCGTAACAGCCCTGAAAGTAACTCCAGCAAGTTAATCAAATCAGATTTAAGCTAACTAAATAAATCAAAAAGTTTTTTACAGTCCGATAGTTTTGCACCACTGGTTCAATCCACTGTGGAGCCTCCCACGTTTAGCTGCAATGTATGTGGTTCAACCATTTTTGCTGCTTTTCCGGAGCGTGTACTGGAACTGTTGTTCTAGATTTCTGTCACGAATCAGAAACTTTCGCACTATTAGTCTTTTAACTAGTTACATGCAAAATCGAACAGATAATGGCAGGGTCTCAGCAACCCCTGCCCACAAGTTTACTCCTATAAACAGGGCTTCTGATTTGCTAAAGATGAGAATAGTTAGTTGTTGGTTGGATTAAACTCAAGGCATATCCAGAGGCCAAACATTTTTTCCGAATTCTCGATCTCCAAAAAGGTTTCCGAATTCTCGATCTTCGTTGAAGAAGCGTCTTCTTCATCATATGGAGCGGTTTACAAAATAAGCTCGGAAACAATTATAACGGTACAATCGCTTCTACCCCGAGGAGTTTTTTTTCGTAGTCAATGGATCGTAGTTCGTAGTTTCCTTCCATTCTCAGTATTAGTTTCCTAATTTCTTAGTAACTCGTTCTGATTTTTGCAGTTTCAGGTGTTGCAAAATCAAAGTATACTCTTCCCTTCACTTTCTGACTCTTTGTGCAAATAACGTCCATAACTGATATTTTCGTCGTAGTGTACGCTCTTTCTTTCGAATTAAGTCAAAACTCGTTCTGGTTGAATGGCCCATTCTCCCTGACAGCTCACTCAATGTCCCCACTGAGATTCTAATCGATTAATACATCATTAAAATGGTACAGTTCCATAAAACAGAACTTACAAAAGTTTCTCCGAATCTCAAATTGCATCAACTACGCGCCATTATTGGCATCATATTGCATCGTTATAGCCTCCCACCCTTTTCATTTATATGCATCATGAGGATATGACTTAGGATAAGACCTTGTATACAACCTAGTGACAAATCTTATTTGAAAAATTCTTTTACTATGTTTAAAATGTGCGTACCCACGGAGCCGCATTCCCGGATAGCCGAAAAAAATTAAATATCTCCGGTTTTAACTAAATTAATTGAAAAAATTCGTCACAAAATTTGAGTGGCCAAAAAAAGTCCCTCAATTTTCACAGACCAGTAGCCAAGAAAACTGCGAATAAATTAATGGGATTTGATTGCTTCGACTACTTTTTGAATTTTGCAACTACTTTTCAACGCATGAATTTTTGTTAAGCTTTTATAAAAAGTGATGCAAGTAAATTGGATCAAATTAATGAAATTGAAACAGATTAGATTACGAAACGCACAATGAGATCAACTATTTGAACGAAATGATTAAAAAAAAACCTAAATTACAAAAGGAGCCCTTCCGTTTAGTTACGGTAAGTGCACAAGCTGGATAGGGCCATATCAGCGATATAAAAAAGCATTCATATCAGCAATGAATTCATAAATCAGCATTAAATGCATCGTCGTAATGTTAATTAATCTTAGCCGTCCTTCCTCTACAATAGCGCTTATGGAGTTGTCGATAAATTGAACTTTGCGTAGCGATCTGCAACCCCTTATATAAAGTATAGAGCTCCTCAGGAGCGCGAAGCTTATTTTAGTTCTTATGTAGTTTATTGATTCTAGATAGTGTGCCAGTCGGTCATATTTGGAAGTTTGACCTTGAGAAGAGCAGAAAACACTTGATTTTGGAGTGAAATTTAAATTTTTAAAATTTCGAATGGAACATGTCATGCACGATTTTCTCGCGAGAACTGAAAATCAGAAAAAAGAAAGGAGAACAATTTTAGAGCAATTGCGGGAAAGTTGTCAGAAAAAACGAGTGGGAAATTGCTATTCGCAATTTCCATCATAGTGAACAAGAGTAGAGCTGTCCTATCTGAAATAGGAGACAGAGTATTCCCGAGAGAGTAATTATTCGAACTGGACCAGAGTGAACCTTCGACGGAAAGGTGGACAGCTTGAGTGTCCCAATGGTCCACATAAAACTTCGTTCTTGAGTTCAAACTTACCATTACCATTCAAACTGATAAACATTGAACTTATCTAGTTATTTTAGTTAATTCTAGAGTTGCTCACCCATTTAATTACTTCCTGTGCTTGAGCGCATCAACATGTGAGTCCTTAATTTAAATTCCTAGAGTGTGTTTTATAATTGTTATGTTGAGGTAAGGCGAGTTTTAGGTTGATCCATCTGAAATGGATCAAAGTTCCACTGTCTAATAAAAAGTAACTTAACGGATTGTTCCAACCCGGTTTTTAACGGCGTTCATGTATTTTGGGTATCTAGAGACCTAAGTATGGGGACGTTTCTAATTCTAGAGTGGGGGGATATTTTAGTAGTAGCCTTTAAGCTGTAACGGGTCGTAGTCTCATGTCACAAGCGAACCGAACTGGCTCCGACCGTTCTTGAGGTAGAAAAACACAAGAGATAGTGTCCCTGACCCTTGAGCCAGTGGTTATAGGGCCTATTTTTCTTAAGCCTCATGTGTGACTGTAGTAGACGAATGTTACATAGTGTTTTTATGGCGCTCCTGGGTGTTTACGACATCAAGACTACGGGGTCGAACTCACTTGAGACAGCTTCGGGCTGAATGCCCATTCTAGAGTACCGGCGGTACGGTTCGACAGGAACGTGCAAACCTTCCGGTTGTACCGTGATAGCTTTTTAAGAAAACTCGAGAAAATTTCCTGGTACGCTCTCCGAACGAGGCTTAGCTAACCGAGTAAAGGGGGGCAACTAGGGGGACAAAAACACGAGCAAAAAGACAAAAAGCAAAACAAAAACCAAAAAAGAATAGAAAAAGGAACAAAAACCATAAAACGAAAAAAGACAGTGACTTTGACACCAGATTAGTTGGATCAAACCTTTATATTAATTAAATAGTATACCCATACTGTTTTACAAGTTCGATCGTTTCGATCAACCTAGCAATTTAAACCAGTAAACTGAATAAAGTGCCCGAAGTGGGGCGTTGTCAAGGGTTTTCAGATAGCTTGGAACTTAGCTGGACCAATAGGAGACTTGACTGGAAGAGGTGACCAGCCGAGTGGGAAAGTGGTTCAGGGACACTTGAGCTGAACCAATAGGAGACTTGACTGGAAGAGGTGACCAGCCGAGTGGGAAAGTGGTTCAGGGACACTTGGCTGAACCAATAGGAGACTGGACTGGAACAGGTGACCAGTCGAGTGGGAAAGCAGCCAAGAAGGATTTGGCAATTCTCGAGTTCTCAAGTTGGGCAGAACGGGTATCGTTAGAATCCACATTACATTATAGGAAATAAGTGTAAAATTGGATAAGCGAAATCCCCCAGTTTTGAGGAACGTTTTTACTTGAGCAGGCCTGGAAACAGGTCTACGGTTTTCTCTTGAGAGGTTTAGCACCCGGCGCTTAAAGTAATTTTTAGGCTTAAGTAGGGGGGCTAGAAAGGGGGGAGGTTAGAAGGGGGACTGGTTAGGCTAGAGGTTGGCGGTTGTAAATTGCAAAAAGGGGGAAATTAGAGTAACTAATTAGTCGACATCGTTGACTTAGTTACATTAGAAATTAACACGCGTTGGTAATATTAGGTGGAGATCCAAAATCCAACTCGAGTTAAGGCTGGTACGCTGGTTGGTTTGGTAGGGGGGACCGGATATAGACAGCTTTTGTGATACCCCATAAGATCACTAGTGGGGGGAGGAAAACGCGTGGCAATTAGGTACCAGACATTTTTTTTAGACGAAAGGTAGACATTGGTCACCTTTAAATTTCAGGTGGGCTCATTTTTCTGTTTTTATTATTTTTCTTACTTAAAATTTTTGTTGCATTTTATTGAGGATTTGTGTTTGGTTTTATACGAACAGGTGATCACAAGATACCTGCGCACCTACATTGAAATAGAAACAACCAAAAGAAGAGGGGGGTCAGCATTTGGCTTTTAAGAGAGGGTTTTTGGGAAAATTTTACTAGAGCTTGAGTGGTGGTACAAGGTACGGTGGTTCAAGAAGACCCTACAACGAGGAAGACACTCCGTGACGAGTATTGGGACAAGACCGAAGAAGTCTTGGGACAGAGCAGTCTTGGGATAGTGGTCTTGGGACAGGGTCTTGGGACAGTGGTCTTGGGACAGGGTCTTGGGACAGTGGTCTTGGGACAGGGTCTTGGGACAGTGGTCTTGGGACAGTGGTCTTGGGACAGGGTCTTGGGACAGGGTCTTGGGACAGTGGTCTTGGGACAGGGTCTTGGGACAGTGGTCTTGGGACAGTGGTCTTGGGACAGGGTCTTGGGACAGGGTCTTGGGACAGGGTCTTGGGACAGTGGTCTTGGGACAGGGTCTTGGGACAGGGGTCTTGGGACAGTGGTCTTGGGACAGGGTCTTGGGACAGTGGTCTTGGGACAGTCTTGGGACAGTGGTCTTGGGACACTAGTCTTGGGACACTAGTCTTGGGACACCAGCCTTGGGACACTGGTCTTGGGACACTACCCTTGGGACACTAGTCTTGGGACACTAGTCTTGGGACACCAGCCTTGGGACACTGGTCTTGGGACACTACCCTTGGGACACTAGTCTTGGGACAGTAGTCTTGGGACACTAGCCTTGGGACACTAGTCTTGGGACAGTAGTCTTGGGACACTGGTCTTGGGACACTAGCCTTGGGACAGTAGTCTT